TCCTGCCTTTTGATGTGTTTGCTAATTGCTATAAATTCACCTCTGATTATGGCTTTGGCTGTTTCCCAGAGGTTTTGGTAAGTAGTGTCTTCATTGTCATTTGTTTCAAGAAATTTTTTAATTTCATTTTTATTTCTTCTTGTCCCCAGTCGTGTTCAAGCAAGTTATTGTTCAGCTTCCAAATGTATGGTTTTTTTCTACTTTATTCTCTTGTGATTAATTTCTAATTTTGTGGCATTGTGATCTGAGAAGATACTTTGTATAATTTCTATGTTTTTGAATTTGTTGATGCTTGCCTTGTGACCTAGAATGTGGTCTATTCTGGAGAATGTTCCATGCACATTGGAAAAGAAGGTATATTGTGCTTTTTTGGGGTGCATTAGCCTATAAATATCTATGAGATTGAGTTGGTTAATTGTGTGGTTTAATTCTTGAGTATCTTTGTTGAGATTCTTTTTGGTAGTTCTATCTTTTCTTGAAAGGGGTGTAGTGAAGTCTCCAAGTACTATAGTACTGTTATCTATCTCCTTTTTCAACATTGTTAATGTGTGCTTTATGTATTTTGCAGGTCTTTCATTTGATGCATGTTGTTGTTGTTATGTGCCGTCATGTCATTTGCAACTCATGGCGACCCTATGTACAACAGCCCTAAACCATGCTCTATCCTGTGCCAATCGCATTGCCTTTGACACACCCATCCCGATTACCCCAGTCACTGAATCAATCCACTTCATACAGGGTCTTCCCCTCCTGCACTGTCCCTCTACTCTACCCAGCATGATGGCCCTCTCCAAAGACCTGTCTCTCCTTGCAACATGTCCAAAGTATGTCAGACGAAACCCCAGAATCTTTGCCTCCAAGGAGTAGCCTGCTTTAACCCTCTCTAGGATGAATCTGTTTGTTTTCTTGGCAGTCCATGGTACAATCAATACTCTTCTCCAGCACCACAGCTCAAAGGCGTCAATTTGCCTTCTATCCTCCCTAGTCATTTTCCAGCTCTCTGATGCATAACAAGTGATTGCAAAGACCATGACCTGTATCAGGAGCATATTCCTCTCCAAAGAGACACCGTTGCTCTTGAGTACTTTAGAGAGGTCCCTAGCAGCAGACTTTCCTATTGCAATACGTTTTTGTATTTCCTGGCTGCTGGTGCCAAGAGTGTTGACTGTGGAGCAGAGCAAACTGAAGCTGTGAATAATCTCAATCTCTTCGCCATCCATCCTGATGCTGCCGATTGGTCCAGTGGTGAGAATCTTTGTCTTCTTAACATTGAGCCTCAGTCCATACTAAATGCTGCAGTCCTTGACCCTCTGCAGTAAGTGTACGAGGTCCTCCTCAGTTTCAGTGAACAAAGTTGTGTCATCTGCATAATGGAGATTGTTGATAGATCTTCCACCAATCCTAACGCCATGCATCTCCTCATAGAGCTCAGCCTCTCGGATAATCTGTTCTTCATACAGGTTGAAAAGGTATGGAGATAGGACACATCCCTGGTGTAAACCCTTCCCAATTTTGAACCATTCAGTGTTGCCCTGCTCTGTTCTGACGACTGCCTCTTGGTCCAAGTATAAGTTTCACATTAGCACAATTAAATGTTCTGGGATTCTCATTCTTCTTAGAGTCATCCACAGTTTGTTATGATCCACGTAGTCAAATGCCTTTGCATAATCAACATTTGGTGCATAGATATTAAATATTGTCATATCTTCTTGTTCTATTGACCCTTTGAGCATTATGTAGTGACCTTCTTTGTCCTTTGTGATGGTTTTTGCATTGAAATTTATTTTATCAGAAATTAGTATCGCTACTCCTGCTTTTTTTTTGGTTGCCATTTGCTTGGTATATTTTGTCCCATCCTTTAATTTTTAGTCTTTCTTTATCTTCATTTTTCAGATGTGTCTCTTGAAGGCAACATATTGATGGATTTTGTTTTTCTATCCAATCTGCTACTCCTTTTCTCTTCAGTGGTGCATTTAAACCATTCATGTTCAGTGTAATTATTGAGAGGTAGTGTTTTATTGCTGTCATTTTGTTCAATTCTTTTTGGTGTTGTTGCTAGTTACTTTGGTCCATCCTGTTTTCTGTGGCATCTCTGTTTCCAGGACATCTCTCAGTGTTTCCTGTACGGCTGGTCTTGTTTTTACGAACTCCTTTAGGTTCTGTATTTTTGGGAATATTTTAATCTCTCCTTCTTACTTGATGGACAGTTTTGCAGGATACAGTATTCTTGGTTGAAAGTTGTGTTCTTTAAGTGTTCGATATATGTCATTCCACTCTCTTCTTGCTCGCATGGTTTCCGCTGAGAAATCAGCAGTTAATCTTATCTGTTCCCCCTTATAGGTCACTCTTTGCTTCTCTCTCACTGCTTTTAGTATTCTCTCCTTATCTTTATTTCTAGTAAATTTGACAATGATGTGCCTTAGTGTTTTTCTTTTAGGGTCTGTTCTATATGGTGTTCACTCAGGTTCTTGAATATATATTCTGTCATTCTTCATTGTGCCTGAAAAGTTTTCCTCTAGTAATTCTTCCACAACTTTTTCAGTGCCTTTACTTGCTTCTTCCCGTTCTGGGATTCTTATGATGAAGATGTTATTTCTTTTAATGGTATCCCACATTATTCTTAAGCTTTCTTCTGTTTCCTTCCTTTTGGATTCTGCTTTTTTCTCGGTCAGATTTGTGGTGATAATTCTATCTTCTATTTCACTGATTCTGTTTTCCATCTCTTCACCTCTATTTGTATGTCCCTCCATCATGTTGACAGCATCAGAAACCTTAGATTTCATATTTTGGATCACAGTTTCTTGTTTTTTCCAATGCCTCTAATGCTTCATTTGTTTTCTCTGTGTTGTTTTGGATTGTTTTTTTTTAAGCTCCTCCTGGTCTTTGCTAGCACTGTTCTGTAATTCATCAAGTTTCTTTTTTATCTATTGAAAATATCCAATCATTATTCTTTTAAAATCAGTGTCAGAAAGTTCCATCAGGCTTCCTGGCTTCAGGAAATCCATTGCTCCTGTGTCTTCTTTGGGGGTTGATATCTTGCTTTGGGCTAGTGGGACAAGTGAAGCACTCTGCTTTCTATGGGCCATTGGTGTGGCAGAGTTCTTCGTGTCTGAGGTGGTAGCTGGTTTTTTTATTTGACGTCACTGCTCCAGAAGAAGGTTCGGCAGGAACAAAAGTAGATGCGTAGAGGGTGCGTGCACACGCCAATGCTCACGTGAGTGGGGTGGGAGGAAGCACACACTGATACATGTGGGGAGGGGCTCGCGGGAACCTAAATAATGAAGGAGGAAGTCTGTTTTTCCCTTTCTGGAAAGCTTCCCCACTCTTTGGATATGCTAAGGATCTCCCTGTTGTTTGAGTTAGTAGGCCCTACGTACTCAGGCCAGGAACCAGTTTGTTTCCCCACATAACTTAATCCTCAATGGTACATGAGTATTTTAGGGGAGTTTGATAAATCTTATAGATGTGGCATATATGATTGTCTTCCTGGCCTGAGGGCCAAAGTCCCCAGGGCCCAAATGGGTGTGTGGTGGCTGGGTCACAAGCTCTTGCCCGGCACTCCGTCCACTGTCCTTGCAGATTTCCCACCAAAGTCCAAGTTTATAAAGATGGCGTTTCCCCACGGACCTCTGGGAACTATAGTCTGTACTTGCAAATTGTAGGCAGAGGGGGTTGTGTAGGCTGGGTTACAAGCCCTGGCCTGGCACTCTGTCCACTGTCCTTGCATATTTCCCACCAAAGTCCAAGTTTATAAAGATGGCATTTCCCCACAGACCTCTGGGAGCTGTAGTCTGTACCTTCGGCTTGGTAGCATAACTTCCTTTCCACTAGGCCAACATAGCTCTCTCTTTGTCGTTGTCATTGTTATTGTTGTTAGGTGCTGTCAACTCCAAAAGCTTGCCACAATTCCTGTGCTCCTTCTGGCCAAGCAGTTTCACCTTATAAAATTTTATGATCTTGGAAAGTCAGCATAAGTTGGAATTGACTTGACTGTGTTATGTTAATTGGGTTTTGTTTAACTTTAGGACAAATTGATTCTATACAATATAGTATAAAACATGCCAATAAATAAACAATAATTAATACATAATTACTGCTTAAGTTCATTCAAAAATAGACTCGTGGTCCAAATCCACCAGATGCTCTGCTGGAGAAGGAAGGACAATCTCCTCCTGAATAAGTCAGATCCAATTTGACGATATACATACAAAAAATAATAAAATTTTAAAAAATCTTCAGAAAAAAATAAAAAAGATAGACTCAGGAGGGAACTGAGAAGCCAAATAGACTTCACTCACTCCATTTGAGTAATCAAACCTTGTGTGTGTAAAATTTCTACCCTCCGCCCTCAAGTTTTGTCTTGACTTATTTCCCCAAATAGTAGTTGCTATTGTTTATGTAAACGTTTTGCACTGTACACTTTATAAATCTAAGATGTAAATGTTTTACATTGTGCTCTTGATAAGCCCAAGATTTGGATTTTTGTACTGTACCCATGACTACATCACTGTACCCTTAAAAATATGTCAGTAGCAAGAAATTGTGGGCTGGGCCCACATAGCCCAGCATCTAACATCTAAAGGAGAGTAAGAGTATAGCACCCAGCTGAAGCTGGGAAAGTGAGGGATTCAATCCTTCTGTGTTGCTGGGACTCCCTGCTGCACAGTGACTAAATGTCCTCACTTATAATCCAGCAGCATGTCTCTTAGTCCATGTGCACAACAGGAACAATATCAGTTTTAATCTCTGCTGCCTGGTATGTAACCTTGTATTAATATTTTACAAAGACACATTAATATTAAAAGAAAAGTCAATTCAGAGATTCACAACAGGAAAGTAACTAGAGTTATAAGTATAAGTGCATTTTCTAAATTGGAAAATATCGATTTTATCAGATAATAAAATGATCTGTGAATTAAATGGTTTAGAGAAAGACTTCTTGATGATTCAAATATTTAAGATTCTTAAGTATTTTTAAAGCAACATTATTGTGATTGTAGATAAAATTGTGGAACATGAATTCTGGAAAACAGTTCTATATACCTGTCCAGCGATGGTTGGCTCAAGATGAAGAAGATGGAAATATTTGTCGAGAATTTCCCATTTTAAACAAAGGACAGCCTGCCTTCCCAGGTAGGGTAGCTCCAACTCCAGGTAACATCAACAATATTTGTTTACATAACTGTTACAGGAGGAAGAACTGAATAAAAATGTTCAGGATAAATTAATAGTTGAACAAATGGATGATTACACGAGTCATTTCTTATAAATTACCTTTGCTGCTATGACTGCTGTAGCTAATTGTTTTACACATTGGTGTTCAAAAAATTCTTGTCAATGGTTTTCCCTGTTAAGAAGGAAAAAGAAATGCTTTGTAAGCAAAAGAAGAACATTAATCCTTAGAAGGCCATGGGAAAACTAAATGTCCAATGAAGTTAATCTAGGGCAAAGAAATGCAAGTCACTATGATTTTTTTTCTCACCAAGATCTATCATTTCATTTTCGTATTTTTAACGAGTCTGCTTGGTTCCATGATCAACACTCTTGGCATCAGTAGCCAGGAAATAAAAAAAAGTATTGTGATGGGTAAGTCTGCTGCTAGGGACCTCTCCAGGGTACTGAAGAGCAGTGGTGTCACTCTGGAGACTAAGGTGAGTCTGATACAGGCTATGGTCTTTGCAATCACTTGTTATGCATAAGAAAGCTAGACAATGACTAAGAAGGATAGAAGGAGAATTGATGCCTTTGAACTGTGGTGCCGGAGAAGAGTATTGAATGTACCATGGACTGCCAAGAAAACAAACAGATTCATCCTGGAGAGGGTTAAACCAGGGTGCTCCTTGGAGGCAAGGATTCTGAGGCTCTGTCCAACATATTTTGGACATGATGTAAAGAGGGACCGGTCCTTGGAGAGGGACATCATGCTTGGGAGGGTGGAGGAACAGTGCAGGAGGGGAAGACCCTCTATGAGGTGGATTGATTTAGTGACTGGGGTAATCGGGATGGGAGTGTCAGAGACAGTGCGATTGGCACAGGACAGAACAGAGTTTAGGGCTGTTGTATATAGGGTCGCTATGTGTCGCAAGCGACTCAATGGCATATAACAACAACAACAATCTTTGAATATCTAAATTATCAAGTAGCAGCATATAGACAAAACACAAATAGGCTTTTTTATCCTGGTTTCAAATACTATTTCAAACAGTATTCAAGCAACGTGTTTTAATCATGTCTCCCAGGCTGTCAAATAGAAAGATTATACCCTTTTTATTTTCCTGAGCACTTTGAAACTCTATCATTTTTAATAATTCTCTGTGCAACTTTAGTCATTCCATTTCTATAATTCTCAAGAGATCATCTTGTGACTATAACTCACTTTTTTAGCTCTAACGGTCCTGCTTCCATAACCTAACCCAAATTTGATACATTTTCAGTTCTTGTAAGAGCTTCTGATTTTCATCCTGTAACTTATTTCTACTCACTGCTCTTTCACTCACAGCCAATTTTATTTTTTCAATAATAAACTCATCTCTTTCAAAGGCTTAACAGCTGAGATCTGCTTCACATATTAGCCAAGGAAGTTCAGGGCTGCTGTATCCCATGCACTGTTTTTTTATCATTTAGTTGAGTTTGATAACTTTGTCCCTGTTTCTGAAATTGATTACAGTTTTCAGATAATAACTTTTGTTGAGCATCTAAAGAAAACATGAGTCTGATGATACAGTATCTCTTGCTTGTCCCATTCTCTTGACTTTGTTCTAAATTCCTAGTTTTTTACTCAAATTGCCCAGTTCAAATGGAACACCTTCTTTGATGTTTAGAAAATCTTTTGTTCATATTTCAACAAACAAATACAGGCCTACATATGCTGACCAAGCTGCCTAAACAGCTACTTGATAAAAAAAAAGCTCGATAAAGTTTGCCGGATGATTGAGAAAACCAAATGCTTCTTGCATTTGTGCCACTGAACTGAACCTGGACTTTCACTAATTGAGGCTGGGTTGGCACTTCTGGACTAAACCTGGACTTGCATTGTGTGAAATTCTTCCCTTCTCCACTTCCCAATCTTTTCCCCTAATAAACCACACAACTGTGGAAAAAAGAATTAATATAACAGAAAAAAATAAAGTCTTTGTTGAACTTTTTATTTAATCTGGTGCAATCTTAATTTTACAAAACTTTTTTTCAATTTGGAAAATTGAGCTTTTAATGTCGAAGTTGCCCTTTATAATTCAGAAGTCATTTCTAAGTTGCATTTTTCCAGACTGTTCAACTTCTGTGGAAGTAACCTCACCTCTTGATTTTTCTAATTTAAACAAGTTTGTGCATTTTTCAGGTCATCCCCCTTTTTTTAAATTTTATGCTTATTTATTCACAAAATTTGAATACATTGTTTTTGAGAAGAGATTCTTCCAATTTCCCTCACCCCTCCTCCATCAAATTACACAATTCCATTGTGATTTTGACTTGTATTTCTCTGGTTGTGAGTGATTTGGAGTATTTTTTCATGTGTCTGTCAGCCATTCAAATGTCTTTCTCTGTGAAAAGTCTTTTTTAAAAATTTCTTAGTTTTCATATAATAATTCCTTTTTGTTTCATTCATATACACTGTGTTTTATACAATCTTTCATTTACATTGTGTTTTATACAATCGTTTATATACATTCTATTTTACATTTTTTAATTGGTTTGCTTACAAAGTTTGTTTATATACATTGTTCCACACTATTCTTCATTCACATTGTATTTCATATATTATGTTTTATAAAATCAATCACCACTGGACCTTGCCCATCATTACCTGGTCTTTTCACCTGGATTTTTCCCATTTGCTCCCCCTTCCCTCCACCCACCAGACTCTCTAGCCCTGTGGTTTCACCCCTACCTATCCTTACCCCATTACTCCTCTCGCTCCCCTTCAGTTCCTGTATATGTTTTACTAGTTATCCTTCTATTTTAAAGGTCTTTATTGTTTTATTCTAAATGTCTTCCTATGTCCTTTGTCAATTTTGTGATTGAGTTACCATGGTTTTTTTCTTATGGAAGTCTTGTACTGTCCTGAAAACTTTCACTTTGAGACACTTGTCTGAAATGTAATTGCCAACTGTGTTTTCCCTGTCTGTAGGTATTGTTTTCACCCAAATTTGAAAGTTTCTAATGCACATGCAGGGGTTTATCCTTTAGAAGTTCCCATTTGTCGATATATGAATGGGTAGTCTTGTCATTACAGAAGTCCAGAGTGAAGAAGGCTGCATAGTGTAGGAGGAGGAGGGATTGCATAACAATTAAAGAGTTTTTCTTTATTTTCAAGAAGAGTGAATTGGGGGGCCGTGGACAGCGAAAAAAGTGCAACAATGCATGACTGGAAACCTAAGTCTCTGTAAACTTTCATTAAAGTTAATTAAAAAAAAAAGAAGGTCCCATTTGTCAATGTTATTTTATCTTAGTTGTGCATTTCTGGCTATATTTGCCAACCTATTTATACCATAGGCTGTTGTTGTTATTTGCCGTCGAGTCGCCTGCGACTCATAGCGACCCTATGTACAACAGCCCTAAACTCCGCTCTGTCCTGTGCCAATCGCACCGTCTCTGACACTCCCATCCCAATTATCCCAGTCACTGAATCAATCCACCTCATAGAGGGCCTTCCCCTCCTGCGCTGTC